TTAACCAAGGGGTACCAACAATTTTGTCCACGTGTTTATAAGCATGCACAGGGAAGTAAGATGTTAAAAAAGTCTGGACTGTGATTCAACCGTTTTGACAACAGTCACATAGCCATCAAATTGGATGTTAATCAGATGTAGAACTATATGTACAAGTTGCCAAGATCTGATTGATAAAATCAGATCTGATCACACTTCCATGGAAGAAAATCTGTTCTGAGTCACTTGGTGGCAAAATAAGATGGATTTTTATGTGAGTGCAACATTTGTCTTGCATCTTTTTTTATCTTTACTCCTAAACCCTGTGTTTTCTTATCTAATGCTGCCTACATGTAACATCTGATCTTCAAATTGCTTAAATGTGATATTAAGGAGATGAACCAAGAAATCATTTGTGTTATTTGCATAATGTGAGTATGCGGTCTTGAAGGCCTCCTGCGTCTCTATTTCAGGTATGGGGTTCTGCTGACCCAGCGGTTGAGCGAGGCATCAGACAGAGAGCTAACGGTGGCTGTCCTGAACATGGTTGGTGCAGAGGAGGGACAGTACCAGCTGGGACTCACCAAGGTGGCAACTGACCCTTCTTAGATACATTTACTTCAGAAAAGTACGTTTGCTGACTTATGTGTATGTCACCATATTTATTTGTGTGTATGTGTGTTAGGTGTTCCTCAAAGAGCTTCTGTACCAGCTGCTGGAGGAGAAGTGGACCAGCACTCAGACTTGGGCCGCCATCACCATTCAGAGGAACATCAGGGGCTTCCTCTGCAGGAGGAACTTCAAGTTCTTCAAACAGAAAGCCATCGTCATTCAGAGCCACATCCGAGGACACCAGGCCAGGTACACAGAGGGAAAGAAAGAAAGAAAAAAAGAAAGAAAGAAAAGAAAGAAAGAAAGAAAGAAAGAAAGAAAGTTAAAAATTGAAAAAAAGGAACAATATTAAAAATAGTTGGAAAACAGGAAAGGTGGTAGACATGGAAGCAAAAAAGGTAGAGAGAGGATAAGAAGAAAGAGAAGAAGAGGAAAAATGAACACATACCAAAATGAAGACAGTAAATCATTTGTGTAAGGGCAGAAAGAAGGGAGAAAGTTCTAAAGAAACAATTTCGACTATCAGAGTTTCTGATATGAGGTAATTTAAAGATGTTTTACCAACAACAGCAATGTTTTTAAAGCTCA